GTGGAGGTTGCTTAATCTCCCCGTACTTGCGTGGGTTTATTCCGAGTACCAGTATTCTAAAAGTTTTGGAGCTTTCATTACAGTTAGTAGAGCTGCACGATATAGGAAAAAACATGCCAGATGTGATGTGAGTGTTGAATCTTGCAAAATCGATGGTATTGTTAATATTTTTAACATGTATGAAAAGAAATGATATACAGTATATATATATACACACACTGTATATATACAGTCTTCCTGCGATTGGCTGGCAACCGGTTCAGGGTGTCCCCCGCCTGCTGCCCGAAGACAGCTGGGATGGGCTCCAGCGCCCCCCGCGACCCCCGCGACCCTAGTGAGGATCAAGCGGTTCGGAAGATGAATGAATGAATGAATATATACAGTCTTATCTTCACCTAGTGGATGGCGATGTACATTTAAGGATGCATCTGATCAGTCAAAGTCATAAAAGCATACAATTCCCTTTGAATACCGTTACAAGTGTTTGTGATATATTCAGTTAGTTTTAGTTTTTAGAACAACTCAACTCAACTGTATTTATGGAGCACTTTCAAACAGCCATCGCTGCATACAAAGTGCTGTACATGGAGCAATTCAACATATACAACAAACAGGAAAGCAAATCGGTAATAAAGATGGTAGAAAGCACCGAACAGCAAGCTTGTTAGTTTTTATTTTCGAAAATGCTTCCTTTTATTTTTATTATTTTCTGTTTTTTTTTGTTGTTTTTTTTTAATGGAGTGTTTGTCGAGGATGTACTCAGCCTTCTCCCAAAATCAGATGGAATAGGCTCCAGCTCACGCCTGCCCCTAATGACGCTAAGCGCTATCGAAAATTGGATTTGTTGACATCTTGTGTGATGTCAAGTATGATGATGGCTTTGTTTCACGCACCATTAGTCCACCGTGCTGCCCAATAAAGATACATATATTATGCTGTATGAATTCCAAAATATGAATTTGAAAGCAAGATGTAAGGTGTGTACCGGGGGCCGCAGCCGAGATTTGAACCTCTGTCTTCCGAACTGTGAGGTAGAATTGGCGCCAAAAGAATCAATAATATGGGTTCAACAAGTGCCTTTGGAATTCATTTAAGAGGATTATTAAACTTTTGCACACACGGAAACAGTGTACCGTTATGGGGGAGGGATTGAGGGTGGTGCACAAGTAAATATTAGTTTTGCTGGATGAATTTGCATCTGAGCACTCAAAACTCTCAACATCAGTTTGTGTGTTTCTGGTGTCACCCAGGCAGTATCACCCTCACCGCAATGCTGTTCATCTGATCCGTCGTCACAGTCGCTGTGTCGGTCACAACGCTTCTCGCTTGGAATGCACGAGCCATCTTTGCAACTGAACTCCAGTTGGTCATGGCAAGCAGGGAGAATGTGACCTACAGCATCTCAAACAAACACAATTTGTATTACTTGTGCATGATCTCACCAGGTAAACCCTCAGTCCATTTGTCTACATTATGGATGTTGATTATCTTCGGGAGCGCAACAATGAATACTTTAGGTGGTGGGACAAAACGATTCAAACAACAGAGACAATGAGGTTTATAAATTAGGATTTTCAATCATATTAGCTCATCTGGCATCTGGGGCATCGAGAAAGACTCATCCGAGCACTTTGACTCTTTTAATCTAGGTAAAGTAAAATTTAAATAAATTAGTTGTGTTTGCCTGATCATTCACGTATTTTTAAAGAATTGTACCCCTTACAAATTCTGCCAAGATACTTAACCATATGAGCACAATTTTATTAAGCTACATGCAAGTCACACTATTGGGTCGAGTATTGAGTTCACATCTGTGTTGTTATTTTTTTTTCCTCATGCATTTTTTGCCATTTACAATGTTTTTGATTTAAAAAAAATAATCTTTATTGGACAAGTCAGAGTACAAATCACAGAAAACAAAACGAACAACTTATTAATACATGTACAGTATAAAGAGAGATAAACAAAAAGAGCCAGGGGATTTTAAACGAAAATTCTAAATAAAGAGCATAAAGCCGGAGTCTTAACTGCTTTCTTATTTTTGGAATCTGTGATAGAATTTACATACTGTTTGGTTTCTGTTTCAAAGATAAAGAAAATAGGTTTTGAATAACTAAATTTAGATTTGTGGAAATTGAATTTTGCTTGTATAATTATAACATTTATAATAAAGACGTGTTTAGTTTTTTATCATGGTTATTGAAGAAGCCAAACAGTATATTTTTCCAGTAAAGAGGAAAGTCAGACGCAACATAATCAATAAAAATGTGGGACATATCTTTCCAAAATTTGTTGGTATACGGACATTTCCAGTGGTTTCGATAAATGTATCGTAGCAATGTGATACATTGTGACGTCAGTAATGACGTTTACGTCAAGTTTGCACATGTCATCATTCTGCATTAAATGCAAAATAAACCTTAATGTGTGTGAATGTGTTGGTAGAGAACAGAAACAGAGAAAACACATGAAGAAAACCATGAAATCCAAAGCATATTTGCGGCAGTTAAAGTGACATATTCATTCAAACTGAGGTGATTATGTCCCGAGTTTCAGTTCTTCATGAGCAAACAAACACAAAAAAACGCACATTGCACGAACAAGGAAGTGCGCAGTGTGCCTAAATAGTCAACGAACTTACCTAAAATGCGATGCTGGCTGATGCAAGATATCAAGAGAAATAAACCTCCAAGGTGTCCCATGCTCGATTATGTCCTACAGTCTTGGTAGTCGGCGCCGAAAGATGACGTAAGAAGCACGTCTCGGGACCTCTTTATGGGAAAATTGTTTGATAAACAAGTCTGAAAACATCCATGCAGCCGGAACGTAAACATTTCTGTTGCTATCTTTAACTTAATACAAAACGTGATTATATCGCTGGTAGAAAGCGGATGGATCGATAGAGAACCCGTCCTTCAAGCATCATCTTTTTGTGTTGATACATGAAGTATAATCCATGCACTGCAGTCACATAACTCGTTCCGTTGCTCCTACTCTAAAATATATCTGACTCCTCTGCTACTTTGTACAACGTTATACGATTGTGCTAAACGAAAATTCTAAATAAAGAGCATAAAGCCGGAGTCTTAACTGCTTTCTTATTTTTGGAATCTGTGATAGAATTTACATACTGTTTGGTTTCTGTTTCAAAGATAAAGAAAATAGGTTTTGAATAACTAAATTTAGATTTGTGGAAATTGAATTTTGCTTGTATAATTATAACATTTATAATAAAGACGTGTTTAGTTTTTTATCATGGTTATTGAAGAAGCCAAACAGTATATTTTTCCAGTAAAGAGGAAAGTCAGACGCAACATAATCAATAAAAATGTGGGACATATCTTTCCAAAATTTGTTGGTATACGGACATTTCCAGTGGTTTCGATAAATGTATCGTAGCAATGTGATACATTGTGACGTCAGTAATGACGTTTACGTCAAGTTTGCACATGTCATCATTCTGCATTAAATGCAAAATAAACCTTAATGTGTGTGAATGTGTTGGTAGAGAACAGAAACAGAGAAAACACATGAAGAAAACCATGAAATCCAAAGCATATTTGCGGCAGTTAAAGTGACATATTCATTCAAACTGAGGTGATTATGTCCCGAGTTTCAGTTCTTCATGAGCAAACAAACACAAAAAAACGCACATTGCACGAACAAGGAAGTGCGCAGTGTGCCTAAATAGTCAACGAACTTACCTAAAATGCGATGCTGGCTGATGCAAGATATCAAGAGAAATAAACCTCCAAGGTGTCCCATGCTCGATTATGTCCTACAGTCTTGGTAGTCGGCGCCGAAAGATGACGTAAGAAGCACGTCTCGGGACCTCTTTATGGGAAAATTGTTTGATAAACAAGTCTGAAAACATCCATGCAGCCGGAACGTAAACATTTCTGTTGCTATCTTTAACTTAATACAAAACGTGATTATATCGCTGGTAGAAAGCGGATGGATCGATAGAGAACCCGTCCTTCAAGCATCATCTTTTTGTGTTGATACATGAAGTATAATCCATGCACTGCAGTCACATAACTCGTTCCGTTGCTCCTACTCTAAAATATATCTGACTCCTCTGCTACTTTGTACAACGTTATACGATTGTGCATTAATGAGATATGCTTTGCATAATTTCGTCTTCGGTAGTAATATTATTTACTTTCCTATTCTCTTTATTCACTGTAAAACGTGTAAACGTGGAGTTGGCCCCAATTTCATTGTATCTGCAGGATGCAACGACAAATGTCAATTTCCGTTTTATTATTGTTTCTATATCATTGCATATTCTGTTTATATTTACAGTTAAATCATTAACTTGCAATAATTTTCTTCTAGAGCATAGGACGCTATATGCTCTCAAAAAGTACGGCATTAAGAAATTGACCTTGAATTCGTATGTTCAATCTCTATTTGGCTTTTCATCTCTCTGAACACAGGTGGGTTTTTCTTTTTTCAGGATGTGTGTGTTCTTCACCTTGCATATACTTCTCTATGAGTGTCATGAATGTATTTTGTTCAGGTCATTACAATACAATATGTGATAGATGACATTTGCATTATCCTATGTCTTCAAATATACACAGTAGACATTTAAGTGGATGAAGACGTATCGGGGCAAACCAGCTCTACCTGCTGGGGACATTGGAAAAGTATAGGTACAGTTTAAATTTCATTCACCCAAACAGTGTGACTGTGTTGTGCATACAGAAATTTGCAGTGGAAATAGTGGATGACACCTACAAATGCAACAAAACAATGAATGACCAACGGGGACAAAAATAGACACTGAATCAGTTTTATTTATGACATTTATAATATACAACCACAAGAGTGATTAGATCTCTGTAGGAACGGGTTATGGGGGTTGATAAGTCACTAATGCTTGAAAGGTTTTATTTATTCAAGCTCAGAGGTACGGCTGATCTGTGGAGAGCTCTAGTTGCTTGTACACTGCACCAGGAGTCACTGGAGTCTTTGCTGATGCAACAGCTTGGCTGGAAGATAATAAGCGGAGACATACAATGACTTGACCTGGGAATAATCTAACCCATCCACAGGCAATGACTTGAGTTTTACAGGTTATATAATATGCCATGTTAATGGCGGAAAAGGTTTTAAAAAGATTTTTCTCTAAGACTATCTCATTTTTTTTATATCACAAAAACCTGGTGGACGAACAGGTGTGTTTTATAGCCACTGTACATATAATTTGAACATGCATTCTATTTCATTTTAACATCTTTGTGTCCTAATTTCAACAATATATGCCAAGATAAAATAGCCATCCAACCAGAAATAGGACATACTGAAATGTAGGAAAGTGCTACAGACATCTCTTGAGTATATCTAAATTGTAATGAAATTCACATCAATTATATTCAAACAAAACGAAAAAAAAGTCATCACAGTGTCAGCAGTTGCTTTGAAGAGACATGACACCAACTTATTATTTCTAAGTCATTATAGATAAGGGACCCACCCCTTATGTTTTTGTTGTATGAGAGTAATGTGAAAAAGCTTGCTTGCATGAAATCAACTACTTCCGCTTTTCAAAACACCTTTAAAGGGGTGAGCAGCTTTATTTCAGGGCTGTATAGGTTTATTATAACAGTGGTTCAATCTTTTAAAAGTTGTATGACCGAAGGTTGTTGAGAACAAAAAAACTGTAACATGGCAATTAGTTGTTGGAAAAATTCTAGACTGCTTCCTGGCTACTGTCAAGTAGCCCTTGAGCAGGACGCTGACCCCACCCTGTAGCTCAAGAAGCACATCCCTGTTTGCGTGCCCCTTCCACTCTTCGCGGCAACTGAATTTCCTTTTGAGGAATTACGAGTAAAATCATTTTAAATGAAAGCATTGTTTGCGAAAATAAATGAATGAATAATGGTTTTATTGTGGTAACTGTTTGACCCTGAGAGTAATTATTTCAATTTATATTTATTCCTTTAGAGGAAAAAAAAGTCGTTTACCTGCCAGCAGTGAGCGCCTTCTGTGAGGACATGACAACAGTGGGGGGCACGGATTCTCTGCGTCCATCTCTGGTGAAATAATAGTTGTCTGCAAACTTATGACTCGGCCCAACGGCCAAATTGGGTGGAGGCTGCGTTCTACAAGAGGAAAAAAAAAGTCAAGATAATACAGACAATAATGCCCTGAACTACCACTAACGCAGTAGTAAAGTCATTTCCGGTTAATATTTGCATGAAAAGCCCTTCTTGGCCGTAACACATGTAAACTCGTAAGCACAGCCGCAACCGCATTTGTTGTGCCCCATGACGACGTACAGTAATTTTATACCGCAGTGCACGTTGGTTCATTACGTACCATTCATAAACTTGAAATGTCAAATGAGACTGAAGACAATGGTATTTGTTTGCGGACAATCGCAACATCGCCTAGTAATTTCAACATATTTACAAAACAAACCTCTTCGCTATCTCTTCATACCGCAGCTGGAGTTTACCTTGAAGGTCACGCTGTAAATATACAAAACAGCACCACATTAACACCGTCAACAGAGCTTGTTTTTGTTGTCACGTCATAATTTTGCTCACAAGCCAACTGGCAAAGACACCTTCATTTGCAGACAAATTAACCATGTCCAGTAACATACATCGATGCAATTCAAAGATGTGCTGTTGTGGGCACTCCTACCTTGTATTCATCGTAAGACTGTGTTTCAATCACTTACCCCTGATAGAAAATTTCGAAGCCTTTGAATTATTTTTGTGGCAGTCGCCATGTTTGCTGTTATGAAGGACACGCAGCTTCTTCTGTTCAGTAACTATATTTCTCAGCTCACTACTGACACCCTGCGGCCTGGGTAGTACACTGCTGCACTTCGCACCTTCTAATCTCTAGTGATTATTTTCCCACTGTCGATTTCTGGTAGGAAAAGGATCCGGTCTGACAATCATAGCTGTTATCGCAAATCATTGTGTGGTCAACAATTTCGGTTGAACCACGGACACCTGACTGTGGCGTGAAACAGAACAACGATAGGGGACGTAACACAAACAGAAGCAACGACTTGAGTAAATTTCGGTTGAGTCACGGACGCTTGAATGTGGCGTGAAACAGAACAACGATCGTCGACGTGACGCAAACAGGTGCAACGAGCTGTGTAAAGTCTTGGAATGACGTCTCCGTTTCAGATTTGAAAAAAAAAAACAACAGCAAAATGAGCGTGTGGACCCCGATAAAGTTTCCAAATGTAAAAATAAACAATGGGTCCAACGCACGATTTGGTCGAAGAGCAATACAAATTTTATTTTTCCACAAGAATACACAGTACTGGGCGACACCGCCGATATACCATGCAATCAAGTATTACAGATGTGTGCTTGTTTCATGCAGCATGCATTGAACAGAAGCGTCCACTGGAGAAAACGTGCACATTTACAACAGTGTGCCGCTTTTCTTGAGAAAATGATCATGTGCTCCTGACCGCTTGCTTTCATGACATCACTTAGGTTGGGGGTAACTGGTGCCATTACTGTTGTCAGACCCTTCAGATGTTTAAAAGCCTGTGAGATTTTCATCTTAATTCATAATCCACAAACTCAATAATTAATCAGAATACCGTGTTTAGAATAGGGTTTTTGACTTGACTTCCCCTTTACCACAAGACACACTTGAAGAACAAAGATTTTGGGAGAACACATTTTTCATGCGGGACTGGAAAATTAACATCTAGACTTTTTTTTTCTCATATCAAAAAGACTTTGCGAATCATCGTGAACACTGTTGCAGAATGAGCATAGAGCATGTCCAAAGAGGCCTGCTTGGGTAAATTTAGTTTAGCACAACTTAACCTCAACCATCACCATTCACGAGAGCGTCCCAAAACTTTTTCAAAATACATGTGTACTGTGCAGTTTATTACTTTTCCCGTCTATCGGAAGTCTTGATCACCGAATTGTATTATTTTTAAAGTTGTCAATATTCATGCACTGCCCATAAATACCATAACTTGAAAACACACAAAAAAACCAATTGCGACAAGAAATCCACCAATGTTGTTACAAACACATGACATTAATCCTGTTCTATAAGTGCCTGTAAACAGATCACAAGTCATTTCGCTTGCTGATTTTTGCATTTAGCTTAATGTATTCGAAAAGAATGGCAGAAACAACTGAAAAACATCTACATTTGTAACATTCATTTAAGGGATGAAAAAGGGTCGTTTCATCTTGAAGCCAAGAATAAAGATCTGTACAGTACCATAGAATTTTGTTGTAAACAATTCCGTCGCACACTCACACAAATCAGAAAATGCTTGTGGTGAGGACAAAGAAGTTGTGAATCTTTGCAGAAGTAGAAAGTAAACCAATCTATTCGGACTGAAGTACACCACTGTACTTGAGGGGTGGGGAAGAGATTGGGAGTGGGGGGGTTACTATTCGGAACAGATCATGAAAACACTGCGCTCAATTACAGGCCACATCCCTCACGGCAGACTTTGTGAACTTGTGCAACTTGTCATCATTGTCCTTGTGCATCTCATGTCCTTTAACATGTTCACAACCTTATGAAAATAGACATTTATACACAAAATACAAGTACAAAAACACGTGTTTCAACAAGCCCTGGTTTCAGATTCAACATTTCTGTTTACCTCGCACATTCAGCCCAAGATACAAAATGAATGTCTGAATACATGAGTGCACTCCCCAATCATGCTGTAAACTTGAACACACTGTTAATGATAGGTAGGAAAGCAAGGTGTCTCACATTTGCTGATGTGAATAAAGATACAAAAAAAAACAACTCATTTAGCATTAGTTGCTGAACAGAAGGGGAAATACAAGATCATGTTGTACGCTTACAAAAGCCCCTCTTAACTCACGGTTGCAAAGAAGACATGGACTTCGATTTGGCTGTTGAAGACGCTTTGCATTGAACACAGTCAAACAACAGGAACAACCTGTTTGCCTGTTTGGATAGCAAACGGCGCAAGTGATCCAATTCAAAAGATATGACTTTGAGCACAGGATTTCGTCAGATGAGTTTTTTACACACACACACACACACACACACACACACACACACACACACACACACACACACACACACACACGGCAGAGAACATGGTCAGTATTCATTATTTTTTTAACTACAACACAAAGATGCAATATTCAGATGACTAATGTTACATTCATTACCAACAACTGAAACATTGTAAGCAGTTTTCCAGTTCTTTTAAATTAGATTTTGCAGTCCAATGAGGGCAAGTTATGTTGTTGTGTTGTGCTTAAGGAGTCCAAAGCAGGCAGCAAAAGGGACGGGTATGTGATGCAGGGATGATTTCAATGCAACCTGTTTGCCTGTTTGGATAGCAAACGGCGCAAGTGATCCAATTCAAAAGATATGACTTTGAGCACAGGATTTCGTCAGATGAGTTTTTTACACACACACACACACACACACACACACACACACACACACACACACACACACACACACACACGGCAGAGAACATGGTCAGTATTCATTATTTTTTTAACTACAACACAAAGATGCAATATTCAGATGACTAATGTTACATTCATTACCAACAACTGAAACATTGTAAGCAGTTTTCCAGTTCTTTTAAATTAGATTTTGCAGTCCAATGAGGGCAAGTTATGTTGTTGTGTTGTGCTTAAGGAGTCCAAAGCAGGCAGCAAAAGGGACGGGTATGTGATGCAGGGATGATTTCAATGCCTTATGTATGCACAGGAAAAACATATCCACCATGTTACTCACAGTGTGGACACAAGGCCAAAGGTCCTGGGTGTTTCGACTGGTGTTACTAGTGGAAGCTGAAGGTCAAAATAATGTGAAGGGGGGGGGGGGGGTAACATGAACAACATAGCATTCTAAAAACAACTTCTAGCACATTTTGGTCCAATAACAATTCCCAGCGTTATCACCTTACTTGGTACCACAGCAATTTATTTAAAAATATAGACATTTATAAAAAATAAAACTGAATGACATCCAGTCACAGAGGCAAAAACCACATCTCACAGATACAAAAAGTTGAGCCTTGGCTGTTGAACCATTAAGACCTTCCCTCCCTTGCACTTAACGCACCGTGCTTTACAATTGTAATAAATACGACTGGCAGGTCCACCAAGCAAATATGTACAGTACAAAATTCAAGTAAAATCCGCCACTTTCTCATCTCCCTCAGTGCAGAGGGCGAGCTGTCACTTTTTCACATGTGCTTTGGTGGCGTCTCTTGTCCACACTCGGACTTTGCAGCTGATTGTCCGACTTGAGTGGAACTGGACGTCTCCTCTTCCTGGCTGCAGCTCTTATCGCGAAGGAGGTCCACCAGCTGCTGTGGCTGAGACGAAGTGACGGTGAGCTCTTGCTGGGCCTCCTCCCCGTCTGAACATGGCTCCCACTCATCCTGTTCCTCGCTTTCTGTCGAGCCCTGCACGGCGATTTGGGGCACGAGGGTGAACCTCCTTATCGTTGGCACCTGCAGCTCCACCTCCTGGCTGTTTTGCGATCCAGTCATAGCCAGCCAAGTGGTCCTGTGTTGCAGCGGTTTCTGGGCTTGCTTTTGTTGAACCCCGGAGGTGGCCGTAGCGCTCGTTTTCTCCTCGGGTTCGTCAAAGCTCACCTCCTGGACCGCCTCCTGCTTTTTGAAGGAGTCGCGGCGCTCCGAGAGGTTGAGCTTTCGCATGACGACCAGTTGCTCTGATCGCTCGGGCCCTGAGTCCCACAACCTCTGGCCGCCCAGGTAGCTGTAGAGTCTGGAGTGGTCGACCCCCTGGTGAGAGCCAGAAAAGCTCCCATCTGCTTCTGAGTCAACAAGCAGCTCCCCTTCACTGTAAAAGGGCACCTCCAGGGTGTGCCTGCGGGGGGTGTATGACTTCTTATCGGCGTGATACATTCCAGATAGTTTCTCAGCTGACTGGACCCTCTTGAGGAGGGGAGATCGAGGTGGTTCTGCACTGCGGGGCCGCACGATGTGCCTAACGATGGTGGGCGGTGACAGGGTTTTGCCATGGAAGGGGTGAAGTGTTTTGCCGAAGCCTGGCAACGGTGAGGGAGAGCGCTGTGGAGAAAGCGGCTGGGCGGAAGAGGAGGAGCAGGCGAGGGGTGAAGGCGGGATGTTGCTGGTTGACTTCCGGCGGCCCACCTTGGTGTAACGCTGTGTGCTGAGCTTGGAGCCCAAACCGTGGAGAGAACTGGGTCGGATGTGTGCGGCAGGGGAACTAGGAGAACTGGAACATGGAGAAGTGCTCTGAGGAGAGTTATCTGGAAAGTGAGACAGAAAACGCACCGGAAATCCTGGCGTTAAAAACCTTCCCAATATTGTTCCAAGCCACAAACCAGTTTGAACTGCTTGAAAACGGCAACCTTTCTTACTCTTACACCTGATTTATAAAACAGAACAAAAATTACAACAACCACTAAATCTGACCTTAATATTCATTCATCCATTTTCTCCACCAATTGCCCTTATTTATTCCTTGCAGATATCCTCAAACACTATTTAGCAACGTACTAAAGCAATTACATGACAACGTGTGGCATCCTTTGTTTTTGGCAGCATTTTTAAGCTTTTGAATATGCACAGCAAACTTACCAAAGGCCTGATGGTCAGGCGCAGGGCTTCGGCAGGGCGTGGAGGGGCCTGGAGAGAGGCTGTGAGTCGGCGAACCTGGAAGACTCTCACTAGAGGAAACGGAGTGGTGGAGACCTGACGAGAAGCTGCGACTGCTGTGCATCACGGTGCTCTGCTTGGATAACTTCTTCAGGATGCTGCGTCTCCTGTATGACCACCAGGAGTCCAGCACAGTAAGAAGAGTTCAACACGCAAAGCCGTTTAATGTCTTCAAGTTAGCGTTTTAAATTTCCTGTTTTATATTTGAATGTATTTCAGTAGACGTCTCCGTTATGCAAGAAAAGCATCACCTCTTTTACCCATAATTCCATCACCTCCCGCATCGTTCCTATATTCGATACAAGATGATAAAAAAAGCCTCTACGGCACAGGTGTCAAACTCAAGGCCTGGGGGGCAAATCTGGCCCGCCACATCATTTTGTGGCCCGCGAAAGCATATCCAACATGTCAACTTCTACAATGATTGCTAAAATCTGTACCAAAATTTCAAATTTTCGTATGTAATAAATCAGTGACATAGTGTCAGCATTTTCTTGTTACCAAACCCCCCATTACAGTTACTTAATAATTGAATAAAACGTGATTCTTGACTTTTTTATACAGTTTCAGTCATCATGGCCCTCCAAGGGAGACGGTAATTATGTGGCCCAGGACAAAAATGAGTTTGACATCCCTGCTCTACAGGATAATATATATATATAATATATATATATATATATATATATATATATATAAAAATAAATTAAGGGTACAAGTTTAGACTTTTAGCGATACTTTGGTAACCCTTCCCAGATTTATGTTATGTCAACAATCCTTAATCGTTGGGCTCGACGCTGTGACCATTATGCTCACAAATGCTCCCATTTTTGCCAATATGTGTTGTTTAAAAAAAAAAGAAAGAATTTTTATCCATTTGCACGAGGGCAAATTAGACTAAGCGCACAAAGTGGAAGGAAGCCCGTGTTTGCCACGTCATGTTAAATCGTTCCTGTATGAATTAAACAATTAAGTATTCAATGAAACAATTAAGTATTCAAGTGTGGGTGTGTATTTTGCCACATTAACGGCCATCTGACGTAACTAGTAGAACAAAGGTACCAAAAATGGTGAAGGGTACAGATGTGCATACCATACTGAACTCAAACAGGTATCTCACCTATCATAGTTATCTCTCCTCTTGCTCCGCTTGCTGCGACGGGCCATCTTTCCTTTGTGTTTGGTTTTTCGGGCTGGACCAACTTTGATGGACGTGTTTTCAAGCGCTATGGTCTGGAGCGCCACCTTGCTGCCACTCTGTAAATGTCATCGCATGACAGATTTAAAGTGTGAGCCTAAATAGATCATAGAAATAGAAAGGCATCAAATGCGTTTGCTCTACTTTGCAATGACCTGAACTGTACAAAAGTGTTTGAATTCAACACCAGTCCAGTACAGTAATAAAATTAGAGTTGAATGACATAACGATATACAGGGGGGTGGAAAAGTAGGTCGAGAGTAGTACACAAAGTGTATGCATAGTGTATAATAGGGTGGTGTGTGATTCATTGGTCTGTGTGTATCAACCTCTGCACCGAACCCCCATCGGCCCCCCCTCCCCAGTGGATGGTTGAGACAATATAGAAACGTCTATCATGTGATAGAATGGTACATTAGTCCCTCCTTATATTGTGGTTCATCTTTCACGGATCCCTATACTGCAGAATTTTTGCCAAGTGCAACTTTGCATGCTGTTTATGCTTTATGCTTTCCAGACTACAACCCACATTGCGTCCTAATTGACTTCCTGTATTGTTTACAGTGGAATTCAGCATGCTGTTTTGTTTTGTTTTTTTACAGCGTACAAACGCGCAATTTATTCTGCGTCCTGATTGGCAAAGGTACTAGCCAGCAGACGACGTTTAATCCTTGTTTTCTTCCCTAGATTTTCTGAACGGTTCAATTTGACTCACAATATAACAGAAGGGTTAAAACAGGTTTCAACCTTTGTTTCATTATAAAATAATAACAATTAACAACAACAAAAATAATAATAACAATATGGTGATGTCTACAGCCTTAAAACATATGGTATAATAATTGTAAAAAAGTGTCCTACTTTGTGGATTTCACCAATCACGGATTATTTTTGGAACGTAACCACCGCGCTAAACGAGGAATCAATGTATATCATATGTATTGTGCATTTTTCAAAAAAATGTAGTTCATGGGCAATGTGTGCATACATTAAACAATATTGAAAGACATGAAGAGATGCTTTCAACAGATGTGACAGGAAGATCATTTTCATCAGTAGTCCATCTATCATTAGATTTCCCTCGTCGTTCCCTACAGCATTCCCTCGCTGAATTCTTTACAGCTCAGCACACAGAGCCAACATGCCACACATCTACTTGTAAACGGTATCTGTCCACATGACTATTCTTCATTGTATCTTCATCTCTAACCTAGGGCACTTGTTTTCCATGGTGTCCTTAATGTGCAGACTGAAATGTGTCAGTTAGGCCTTAAGAACAATCTGAAAATCTTGTGTCAGAACTGACCTCCGAAACAGTTCATTGATTAGCACTTCAAAAGAATAACTGGTATGCATACTTGAGTGTCACTTGAAGCACTGTGTTGTGTTGTATTTATTAGAATTTTTGAAATGGCATTTTTTTGGTCACTGAAGATTTGTGTTTTAAATCTTGTAAATCATGTACCGTGAGGCCTATGTAAAATAGACATTTTAAAAAGTTGCAGGAAATCGGCATTCATTTAATGAAATTTTGAGGAAAAATACCAAATCAGACATCATTTAAGGTGTATTCTACCTTCAACAGTAGTTCAATCATCTCGGTGTGAACCAGGCCTTGGACGGACTCTCCATTCACGTGAGTGACAAGATCTCCAGTACGTAACCCTGCCTGGTAGGCGGGACTGCCCTCATCCACACTCTGTTACAAACGCATGGCGAATGGGTGACAAAATGGATGATAAGTTTGAATCTTCAGCTCTCCTAAGGGGTCGCTGATAAGTTGTGAGTCTTGAGAGCGCACCCACCGACACCATGTGATGGACCGTGTAGACATCGCTGTCACCCATGTAGACACGGATGGCCTGCATTGTGAAGCCATACTTCTTGCCCGAAGTGTGAATGATGATTGGCGGCTTTATGCTACCGGGACTGAGCGACAGGTCCCGGCTGGGGGAGGAGTCACGAGAGGAGGGGTTTGAGGACAGTGACCTTGGGGAGATGGGACTGGGCTGGAGGCCGCTGGGGGAGTCATCTGTCATAAAAATATGATCACAGACTTGCAAAAATCTTTCTTGTTAAATCAGTGTCCTTTTTCCACCTACTGGACCAAGATGCTATTTCCTTTTACCTGTGGTTATGATGAGCGACAGAGCTGAAACAGAGGCAGACTTGGGAACTTTGCCTCCACAAGGAAGCCTCTGTCTGTCCGGTGTCTCAAGTTGGTTACCAAACCGCCGTGGGCCAGCTGGCTCTTTGGGGGATGAGTGTTTGGCCCCTGTGCTGTTGCTGCGGATCCGGATCCTTCGAAGTTTGGAAACAACGACTTCAGCTGCAAACAAGAGAATAAGTTATGCGGAGAGACGATTAACTACGACCAAACTCGACTCGTCCTCGAGATGTTAGTTTGTAATTACCCTCATCATCTGTTGAGACAGCAAAGCGGGGTGTCATCTCCAGGCTGTGGGTGCTGCTCATCACCAGGGGACTGGTGCTCCTTTCAGACTGGGAGGACCTGGGTGATGCCCTGGGGCAGAGGCTACAAAAGGCAAAATACCAGACAGGTTATCGCAAAGAAAGATTGCTGAACCCAACCGTGTAGTGTTTTGGCTTGGTTTTGCTAAAATGTCACGGGTAAGGATCAATTTGCCCAATAGTTCAAAATTTGGACGACTAGGTGTGATTGGCTCAGTCTAAAATTCCACAAGATCATCTTGTTTCCTGTATGTCAAAGCACGGGAATACATTTAAAAAACTTCCATGCAAACACTGCAAAATTATTGATCAACAAAGGTGACAGGCGGAAAGTGAACAGAGTGAACTTGAATCTTCAGCAACAACAAAGATTTGGACCCTGTTTTTTTTTTTTTTTTAAGGTAGACTGACCATTACAAGGCTGCAAACGCTGACATTTTTTTAACATAGTTTAACTTATTCTTTTTAATAACCGTGCCCTTCAGCGCGACACATGAAATGTATCTTTTTGTTCAGACCAATTCAAATGAAACAACTTCAAAATAATCAGAAAATATTTTTCTTCAAAGCATACAATATTAGACATCTAAGATTATGTGTGTACCTAGCCATGCGTCCTGGGAGTCTGGGCTCCAGAGCGCCATCTGCTGGACCCGTGGAGGGACTAAGCCCTCCAACATCAACGCGGTCCTCTTTGTCCTCGCTGTGACTGCGATCAGATGAGAAGCTCAAATTGGATGGCGTAGCCAAATGTTCTGTGCTGCTGTACACCTGGAAAAAAACAGTCAAGACACACACATCGATATCTATCAAGTTTGATCGTCGGTGAAGGACAAAACAGTAAACCAAAATAATATTTTGAATTCATGTGGACTTTTTCCATCTCTCCAATGCGCCTGCTTCGGCTTCATTACCTTGCTGAAACGATGCGACCATGAGGAAAACTGCCTGATTTCCAGTGAAGATTCTTCGTCATTGGTTTCCTCATCCTCATCAGACGCCATGTGATGATAGCGCTCGGATCGTGCTGAAAACAGATGCAAAACAACATGCTGATAATCACACGTCTCGCACTCAACTGACATGATTTTTTTTTTTTGCATTCCAAAAAATGTTTCATATAATCTCAAATGCGGTGTACTGTCAAAGTAGCTTGTATCATCTTCTGAATCAAGCTGAGGGATGAATTCTGCTTTTTGTCGTAATAGTCCATTCCAGTCCAAACCCACGAAGAAGGCGTGCTGTTTGACCTCTGAGGCCCCACCTACAACCACGGGGTGATATCAACATTTCTGTGGTTTTGAGCAAAAAAAAAACAAAAAAAAAAACATGCTGGCGCAGTGTTTTACATAACGATGAGCATTAAACTAAGTAGTACCAGTTCCCAGTCTTTCTAGGGGGCTTTGCCTCAAGAGATGGGTAATCATGTCCTGTGCGTCCATTGGTAAAGCGTCGTCTCCTTCAGGCCAAATGATGTCATCTGCAAATTACAGGACCAAGAATAATACATTTCAAGCATTTATTTTGTTAGTCTCGTGATCTCAAAAGCAAAATATTTTAAAATGTTGATTTACTTTTCTTTATAAATAATTCATTTTGCCACAGAAAGCATAATAAACCGTGTTCCCCCAACCTTTAGTGAGCCAAGCCATATATTTCAATTTGCCCAAACTTAACAGCACACTAATAAACAAAAATCTCAATTTATTCACAGATTGATTTAAAACCTGGGCCCTGTTTAGTTAAACACAAAGCTATTATTCTGTCCTAAGGGCAACAGAAGACAGTTTTAAGTGGATCATTCACTTATCGAGTGGAAGAGCATACAATTGTTCCTCCTACACATATTGCGTCAAAAAAGTTTCCAGGACTGGGGTCATATTACATCCACGTCAAATCCAAACTCTGACTTTTGTCCTTTATTGGGGACCAGAAAATCAACCAGCACCTCGACAAAGACATCCTTTGACATTTGATTCATTCAGTGAGTGACAAGAGTTTTCAGGAAAACTTGTGTCTGCTTGAGCGTGACACCACATTTGCTTGCAATGCCCTTAGCAGCCGACAGCTCCAGGCTGAGAAGAACTTCCGACGTGCTGGAGCAACCTCCCAACTTACCCAGTTGAGCTCTTTCCGGAAGAATGCTTACAGAGGTCCACAACATTTTGGCAAAGAAGGCTGAGAAAGTATGTTAAGACTACTGGAGGACCACTTCAAAGGGAAAAACATGTCGTTTGTAGTTTTGATTTGTAATACTATATATCATATGAGACACCGGTCCTGGAACTTTCCTGAGACACCTTGTAAATTGCGTATCATAGATTGACGAAGATGTATTATTTGAAGTAGACAGAAACATATATTGCGACCAATTAAGTGAAACTGGAGAATTTTCATTGGTATACCCAATGATCTTGGCACATTAGTGGTTGAGAATCACCGTTGTAGAAACCGCTGCATGTGGCGGAAGAAAGGCGAAGGTAAATATGATCTTCTCACCACTGACAACTTGGCCAAAAAGTTCCTCGGGAGTATCGCCAAAGAATGGAACACAACCGACCAGGAACTCATAAAGGATGATTCCCATTGCCCACCAGTCTACTGGTTTCCCGTATCCTTGCCTGAGAATCACCTCTGGGGCAATGTACTCTGGAGTACCACACACCTGCACAAGCAAATCAACAACAAAGGTTTAGAACATTTCATTTTTTTAAAGGTGTCTCAAATCTGACAGTCTCACCTGTTTATCAACAAATTCCCTCGTATCTTTCTCCATGTGACCCTCGTAGAGGTTGGTGGTCATGTTCATCAGGCCAATTTTTGACAGGCCAAAGTCTGTTAACTTAATGTGGCCCATGGATGTGATCAGCAAACTGTTCGGGGGGAGAATACAAACACCGCGTTGAATCAAGTGTTCCAAAGAAGGGTGTTAAAGGGGTCAATGATCATTTGTTGATATAGTGGCAGTTGTATTAGTGACATACAGTGTTGTGAATCCTATTGCACACACTGTTATGGGCTTCTCAACTTCTAAATAACGCTGCAGTCAATGGTTTCAAACGAATTTCTGGAATACATAATGCTCACTCCAGACGCCACAACCATATTAATGTTCCATCAAACATGAATAATTTGATAAGGATCCAATAGTTGTTGAATATTATATAGGTAATCGGGTTCTAGCTAAAGCAGCAGTAGCAGCAAAAGGCGTAGTCAAAAAAAAAAAAAAAGTTAAAAAAACCCAGCAGCCCCCCCGCCCCCAAAATAAATTATCATTGGACACCAACAGAAATCATAAGACCATCGCTACTCGGCTCAGGCGCCTCATCTGTCTAAGTCTTAGACAGACGAGGCGCCTGAGCTGGTCCAACAATATTATTGACCACTAAAGTAGGTGATCTGGTTGCCATGGGGATGACACCGTTCAACCCCATTACAGGCCAGCGTAGCATCACAATTATTTCGATTTGTTGTTTTGTGGCAAAATTACATAATTTTGTTTTAAATGGTGGATGTTGGAATGTCTTTGTTCATACAAAAAGGGTACATTCAATGTGTTATGAGTAAAACCATTTTTGATGTCAAGGTTGGAAAACAGCTCAGAGATTTTATGGGAAAATATTGTGCACAGTGCGCTCCAAATGTGTTTTTGGTTCTCACTTGTCAGGTTTGAGGTCTCGGTGCACTATCCCATAATTGTGAAGGTACTCCAGGGCCAGGACAGTTTCGGCAAAGTACATCCTTGTCATTTCTACAGGTAGTGGACCCATGTTCTTCAGCAAGTTGGCGCAATCGCCACCTTAAACAAAATTGAAAATACAGATCAAAACTAAATTATATGGATCTTTTTCAAAAAAATTAACAAAAATTCCAAAATTCCATTCAAAAAGTTAACACTTTCATCAATAGATTCGTGGCCCACAAGTTATGTACATCTTTATTTATATGGCGCTTTTTAAAGTTAAGCTAGTTCAAGTATTAATTTGCTTATAGTTACATCATTTGTGCTTCCATCTCATGAAACAAATTTTAAAAATGGGAATACTCTGAACAAATCGCCATGTAACTGTACTTCTCTCGGAAAAAAAGAAATTAAGACCACATTAAATCAAACAAAATATGGTATTTTCAAAACAATACGTCAATCTTCAATACTTGACGTGAACTGTTGGAAGATGACACTAAACATTGCGAACAGAAGGCCTATTTTGTCTCCTTTCCTCTTACCCTCCACGTACTCCATGACCATGCAGAGGTGGCGTCTTGTCTCGAAAGAACAAAACATGGACACAACGAAGGGATTCTCTGCAAAAGTCAAGATGTCTCTCTCCACAAACGCTTGCTGAATCTGGTTCCTCAAGACGAGATTTTGACGATTGATCTTTTTCATGGCAAACCGTTGACGAGTCTCCTTGTGGCGGACCAGATAAACAGCCCTATAAAACACCACATGTTCCACATTAGGCTTTTCCCCCCCACAATGATTAGAGCACGTCTTTGCTTTCACATCGCGTAAGTACATTTGTGAATTACTTCAGTATTATTCATACTTCTTGTGACATTTGTGTTTGGAGATTTCTATGTCAAATGGCTGCCTTGGCTCAGTAAAAACTGGGAAACACTCAGACATTTATATAATGAACGCATGGATGCATTCTAAGGCCAGTTGACAATGGCAATGCCAAGTCTTTCAGTTCTAAACGGAAAAGAGAGATGGTACAGATCTTTAAGGGAATAAACAGGAACAGGAAACAACAGAAATTTTCGCTTACCCATAAGCCCCATTACTGATGAGTTTAATGGTCTCAAAATCGCTCTCAAGAGGTTTCCGTCGTGTTGGGGTCACAGCCAGCGGGGTTTTATTCTACAGTGAAAGCAAAAAAATGAGCAAGTGAAGCACGTTGAAGCACACCAACGAAAGACCTCTGACTACACTTCCCAGCATCTAACAAACCGTAATGCAAATTTGACCAACGAAGGAAACATGTCACTGTAACATGTTGGCATTTAGGCTACATAATTTAAACTCATGTTATGGTTTTACCAGCAAACGGATTTGCTTATGGCACATTTGTCAGATTATAAATTTACACACAATTGTATTCCATAATTTTCAATCCAAAGCCATAATTAGTGACAGAGAGATGTTTATGCATGATACATTATAGAAAGAATTGGAATGAAATGTCACCTCCCCATCTGGCTCAATCGACACTGAGGGACTGCAATCACACTGTTGAAGCTGCACCATGTCTATAAAAAAAAAGAAAGAAATTGAAAAATTAAGTCCCTGCCGTGCACGTGCCATATTTAGGATGTCCTTCAGGCCAATGTTGTACCAATGATTTAATTAATGACATCCATGATGTTCTTATTGCCATAGCAACACTGGGCACATTTTCAATGAACTATTCACGTGTTAAAAGTTGCCACTGGAGACGATAACTACAAACCCAATCGCAATGAAGTTGGGAAATTGCGTTCAACATAAAAACTGAATACATGATTTGAAAATCAAAGTCCAACCTATATTTAATTGAATACACAACAAAGACAAGATATTGAAGGTTAAAACTGATTAACATTGTTTTTTAGCAAAACTTGCTGCAACACATTCCAAAAAGGTGGGAAAGGTTCATGTTTATCACCGTGTTACATCACCTTTTCTTTTATCAACATTCAAATGTTTGGGAACTGAAGAGACGAATTGTTGACGCTTTGGAGAAGGTATTCGTTCCCTTGCTTAATGTATAGTTCCAGCTGTTCAGCAATCCACGGTCTCCGTGATGTATTTTATACTTCATAAAGCACCACACATATTCAATGGGAAACAGGTCTGGAAGGAAGGCACGCCAGTCTAGTTCGCGCACACTTTTGCTCCAAAGCCACACTGTTGTAACATGTGCAGAATGTTGTTTGGCATTGTCTTGCTGAACGAAGCAGGGGCGTACATAAGAACGATGTTGCTTGGATGGCAGCGTGTTTCTCCAAAACCTGAATGCACCTTTCAGCATCAATGGTGCCTTCACAGATGTGAAAGTTACCGGCGCCAGTGGCACTCACACAGCCCCATTTTCCATTCCAGATGCATGCTTTTGAACTTTGCATCCATAACAGTCTGGACAGTTCTTTTTCTCTTTGGCCCGGAGGACAAGACGGCCACGCTTTCCAAAAACAATTTGAAATGTGGACTCATCAGACCACAGAACACTTTTCCACTTTGCATCAGTCCATCTTAGATGAGCGCATATCCAAAGAAGCCGACAGCAATTCTGGGTGTTGTTGATGAATGGCTTTTAGTTTGATTAGTAGACATTTAGGTCGCACTTAGGGATTTACTGCCAAACTATATTTACTGAAATTGGTTTTCTGAAATGTTCCTGAGCCCATGTGGTGCTATCCTTTAAACATTGATGTCAGTTTTTGATGCAGTGCCACCTGAGGGGTTGATGGTCACAGGCATTCAAGGTTGGTTTTCGGCCTTGCTGCTTTCATGCAGTGATTTCTCCAGATTCTCGAAACATTTTGATGAAACAGTCAGACCTCGGTTTTCGAACGTCTCTGTTATCGACCTCATCGGATTTCGACCAGAAAATTCTTGAGTTTTACGCCTCGGATTACGACCAAACACCGGTTTTCGACCAAACTGAGCAAACCCGGATACGCCATTCGACTCCTCTCGGCTTCCTTACACGAGGAAATGACGCTTCCTCATGTGTAACATTCATTGTAAGCAGACGTGTTTGTTGTGATTTACGCAAATCTTTTTTTTTTTTTTTTGGGGTTATTTCTGCATAGTGAATTAAGCCCCTAGTCATGGGCTAATAAAATAGTTTTGGATTTCGAACAAATCGCTTTTCAAACAGCCTTCTGGAACAGATTATGGTCAAAAACTGAGGTATGACTGTATTATGAACCGTACACGATAAAATCCCTCGATTTTCTGCCAGTGCGCATTGTCTTAAAATGTTCGACTATTTTCTCACGCAGATGTTCACAAAAAGGTGAACAGTGCGCAATCTTTGCTTGTGAATGACTGAGCAATTCAGGGAAGCTGCTTTTATACCCAATCATGGCACCCACGTGTTCCCAGTTAGTCTGTTCACCTGTGGGATGTTCAAAACAGGTGTTTGATGAAAAATATTGTCTTTTTAGTGTATTCAATTAAATATAGGTGGATGATGATTTGCAAATCATTGTATCCCAACTTCATTGGAAGTGGCTTTGTAGAAAGTTTAGATCCAAGGCGTAAATCTAAGAAACCAGGGACACATTGCTCTGCTCATGAATGAGGTTTAACTATTTGCGAAGGAGAAATTCTTTACCCTCTAAAGGGTTTCGTGCTAAACCCAACTGGCTGATGATGTATCGAGGGATGTCCGATTTGATCCCCTGGCCGACTTTGGCGTGACCTTCTGCTGCCTCAAGCAAATGGTAGAACTCTTCCGGATCAAACTCCTGCACAAAGAATAAAGATTTCATTAAGTCATAGCAAGAATGTGTGTAATGTTTGTGCTTTATGCATATGGCAATATGTTTTTTTAAATGCAGTAACAGTGTTTCTGAAAAACGTGTCAACAATATCATGGACAAATAGTTGTCTTTTTTGGTCACTTTTTGGACAAGTTAGCACATTTCACCAATTGAATGATGAGCTTCCATTTCTGGTCAAATAAATAAGCATTTTCCAAGAGAGAATTAATTTTGGTACTTGTTTTTGTTTGAGTTCACTTCACCCCGTTTCAGTCAAAGTCGCATTATTTTAATTGATGAAAAAACATTCTCAGAGTCTGCTTACCAGACACTCGAGGAGGCGAGCCGGCCGAGAGATGATGATCAGGATTTTCCTCACCAGCTGGATGATGACAGTCACCTCCTCACTTTCCGAGCGCTCGTAGGCCTGGAAAATAGCAGGGACAGAAAAATGTCAAGTTTATTTATATCGCGCTTTGCGCTGAATGACTAAACAAGCTGAAAAGCACTGAATCTAAAGACTATAATAATTTCAAGAAAAAACCTTAAAAGTAACCAAGTCATGGATTATCTAAAACATTACTATGATTTGACTTAAAACAACAATTCATGCCAATTGATCATGACAGTCGTAATGCAATACATCATCATCATCATCCATCTTCTAGAGTGCTTATCCTGACTACAGTGAGGTGACTTTTTAAGATTAAGATATCCTTTATTTGTCCCACAATGGGAAAATTTACAGTCCACAGCAGCAAGATAATGGGTAGAAAGAAGAAAGAAGAAAAGAAAACAAACACCGTTCAATTAAGTGCAATATAAATACAGATATGACTTATCCATCTGTCCAGCCATTTTCTATACTGTTTAGGGAGCTAAAGCCTATTCTATCTGACTTTAAAAGTGAAAGACAGGCTACATCCCAGACTGGTGGCCTGTCAATCATAGGGCACATGTCATTAACAAATTCATGCTCACTGAGTGGAATCTGAACCAATGCTGCCAGGAAGCCCGGCAAATGAACCACTACACTATTATACAACACACACACGCACACACACGCACGCACGCACGCACACACACACACACACACACACACACACACACACATATATATATATATATA